CTGCAAAGTTCGCTCGCGATACTTCCGCGAATGAAAAATCGAAAACTGAAAATAGCGACGATAGAGAAAAAGATTTATTCCGAATTTACGCGAGAAAATGTTATTGTTATTGCGTGAGACGTCTGTCTCTTCAACGTACCTGAAATTCGCGAAAACCTTTCCCCGCAATATTTTTACGAAGTTCGCTCGCGACGCTTCTGCAATTTCGATTCGACAAAATTTGCAAATCTATCAAATTAATAATCACGAATGCAAATGAAAAATCGAAAATTGTGAAAATAGGGACGACAGAAAAAAAGATCTATTCAAAGTTTATGCGAAAAAAAATTTATCTTTATCGCGTGAGACGTCTGTCTCCTCAACAAACCTGAAATATTCACGAAAACTGGCGATATTTTTACGAAGACAATTCCGCAATATTTTTGCGGATAACAGCTTCGCAATACTTTTGCGAAGACAATTCCGCAATATTTTTGCGGATAACAACTTCGCAATACTTTTGCGAAGACAATTCCGCAATATTTTTGCGGATAGCAGCTCCGCAATGCTTTTGCGAAGACAATTCCGCAATGTTTTTGCGGATAACAGCTCCGCAGTTTTTTGCGAAGTTCGCTCTCGATTCTTCCGCAAATACGAACCGGTTAAATTCGCAAATTTATCAAAACATATAATCGAAAATGCGAGCATGAATGAAAAATCAAGAACTATGAAAATTGCGACGATAGAAATGAAGATTCTATTCAAAATTCACGCGAAAAAAAATATTATCGCGTGAGGCACCTGTTTTGTTCGATGAAACTCGTCGCGCGCCGCGTAAATAAACAAACAATTGCTCGTATATGATTTGTATACATCGCGTTTTTCGCGAGGGATCAACGCTCGCTAACATTATTTATTGTTCCGCGTTAGAAAATTCTAAATAAAAAATTGAAACTTGAAAATTTTCCGAGATTGTGAAATTAATTTCGCGAGCAATTTAAAAAATCACGTTAGATCGCTTTGCGCAGGCGCCGTACGATAACGAATTTTATTTAATGACGCAAGCGACGCAAGTTTACAAGAGAAAAAATTGAAAAAATTAACGACCGGCGGAAGATCTATCGAAGCGGGTGATGTGATTGCGCATTTTCTGTAGCGCAATCTTTATGGCGTAATGTTTGCGCGTTAGCGCACTAATCGCGACACTTGAAAGATCGCATTCAATAAAACTGAATAATTTTACAAAATTTTAAATTTGCTAAATTAATTTAGTAATTCAGAGCGTATACTCGATACTTCAATGGCAGTTGGAAGAGAAATACTTGAAAATTTGCCAAATTTATGTAAAAATGCATTATTACAAATATTATTATTTGTAAAAGCGATCTTTCAAATTTTCGAGCAATATGCTTTATTGGACGGCACATACACACACACTACACCACAGCAAAGTAAATCGCATTGATTTATAAACATGCATTATATGGAAAGACTTTTTGTCTTTCTATTACCAATTTATTTTCTTATTTGACTCACCGATCCGCCGATCAGGGCAGCCACGTTCTGCTTTCGTTTCTGGAACAGAAAAATGTTTCACCGATTAGATTCGTGCACTGATGTCGGTTTGAGTAAAAAAGTTTGAAATATTAAAAAAAAATAAGCGCGCAATATTTTTCACGCTTTCACGGAGAGTTTTTCGGAATGCATTCACATTTAAAGTGTTCCATTTTCCTTTTTCTCGATGTTTCACGAAAATTTCTTAATTAAAACCAATCAACATTTTTCAAGTGGTGATGTTACTCAAGAAAAATTTTCCCCGCATGTAATTACGATTTAACGCGATCTTTGACTCGATTCAAATTATCTCGATTTCGAGCAAAAGAATTATCAATCTTATTAGATTTCTAATGCTAATTAAGGAAACTAACCTTCGAGCTAACCCCGCTTGGCCCGAGTCGGATCCTCAGACGCAGCAGCCCCTAAGAGTCGGCTGGTCGTCTACTTCGTCTCTGCAACAGAAAGCAGATTTAATTTAATATTACACACGACAATGGAGGCATTAAAGAACCTGATTCCAAACAAAAAAATTTCCAGTTTTATCAGATTTTTAATTATGAATTCAAATAAGTGAAACTCACCTTCGCGCCAACTCTGCCAGACCCGAGCCGGATCCTCCAACGCAGCATCCCCTTAGAGTCGAATGCTCGTTTCTGTAACAAAAAGCATATTTAATTTAGTATTAATTCGTTGCATGACAATGGAAGCATTCAGGAACTCGATTCAAAGTAAGGAAATGTTTAGTTTTGTCGGATTTTTAATTACAAATACAAATCAATGAAGCTCACCTTCGAACCGACTCAGACAGGCACGAGCCGAATCCTCCGGCGCATTTCCATTTCCCAGGCATCGCATCCTCTAGAGTCGCGTGACTGCGTCTTCTCTATTAGATCTCTGTAACAGAAATTTAATATAAGTTATTATCAATTAGTAATTTAATAAATTATTATTAGTTACATACGATAGCAAGACGAGAAAAAGAAATTGTCGTAACGGCACGTTCGAGTTCCTTCTCGCAATAAAAAATGCGCAATAAAAAATAATTAAACGATAACTGAATAAAGAAATAATAATACCCGATTAATTAATAGATAATGAATAATGTCTGATCGACAAGCGTATAATAATATTCGGTAGTATCAATTAATTATTATTAATTATTAATTATTATTAATTATAATACACAGAATTGTTCAATCAAATCAATGCCGATTAAATATTATCATTATCCGTTTATTATTCGAGTATTATTACATCTTTATTCGGTTGTCATTTAATTATTGTTATTGCGTATTGGAAAGCAACTCGAGCGTGCCGTTACGACGATTTCCTTATCTCGTTTTGCTGTCATGTGTAATGTTGTAAAAATATCAATTAAATTCGCCTCAATTTAATAACTGATTTGAGTAAATAATTTCTAATTTAATTAATTGACGATTAATATAAGCTTATTCAATTAAAAATATTTTAATTAATCACTGACTTCAAGAAATCTAATTAAAAATCATTCACTTAACGATTGATTTGAAAGAATTCAATTAAAAACTGTTGAATTAACTGTTGATTAAAACGAACGAAAGTAATTAAAGATTATTCGAATAACGATTGAACATAGTCAATGTAATTAAGGGTTATATTTATTTATCTGACAATTATATGTATTTAATTGACAATTGATATAAGCAAATTTAATCGAAAAGCGCAGACGATAAGCAAATTTAATCGAAAAGACGATTGACCAATCGATGTCAATCAAAATTGTAATTATAGTTATTTACATTGCTAGTAACCAATCAAGCTGAATATATACTTACACACATATATATATATATATATATATATATATATATATATATATATATATATATATATATATATATTTCTTATATCAATTGTCAATTAAATAACTCTTAATTATATTGACTATGTTCAACTGTTAATCTAATAATCTTTAATTACTTTCGCTCGTTTTAATCGTTAATTCAACAGTTTTTCATTGAATTCCTTCAAATCAATCGTTAATTAAATGATTTTTAATTGAATAAGCTTATATTAATCATCAATTAATTAAATTAGAAATTATTTACTCAAATCAATTATTAAATTGAGGCGAATTTAATTGATATTTTTGCAACTCTGATTACACACGACAGTAATACGAGGTAAGAAAATTGTCGTAACGGCACGCTCGAGTTGCTTCCCAATACGTAATAGAAATAGTTAAATGACATCCGAATAAAGAAATAATAATACTCGAATAATAAATGGATGATGATAATATTTGATCATGGAACTCAATCCCGACGTTTCTCTATTTAACAAGTAAAACAGTAAATAAAAGTTTTAACAAGTAAAAAAGTAAATAAAACGCAATAATTACCTGCTGCGGTAAAGCCTGTAACACCTACTCGCGTAATAAGTACGCGTCTTAACTCGTGTTAATTATCAGTTTAATTGTGGCGACGTTAAAATGCGGTATTAAAAATCGGCGCGAAATAACTTCGAAAATAACGCGGCGGCTCCCGCGACGTGCTCGCCTCGGCGGCTGGTAGGGTAGTGGCGCGACTCCCGAGCACGTGCTCGCGCACGCGTGCTTACCTACCCGCCTCCCCCCCCCCGCGCCCTCAGTCGGCAACCGAGCGAGCTGTTACGCCGGTCTGTTTACCTAGGCCCGTATTCTGAGTTCTCTTTTAACGATAAAAAAAGTCTCTAACAGAAGCTTAGAATCCACCTGATTGGCTGAGAAGTTACATTACGATAAGGCTCTTTTATTGGTAAACAAGGATTCAGAATATGCTCTAGCTTTTGTTGAGCCTAAAGTTTTCGTTAGAGCCATTACCTAGGTATTGCATTTCTCTCTCTTTCTCTCTGATTGTCATCGCATTTCTAATTTCTATTCAATAAATTCGACAATCGCCCGATTCTATTGCTACTTGGTCGAGTCGATGTTATTAGCAAATGTAAGGGACGTCGGCGCGACACGTCGCGACAAGCACCGGCCGCATATACCGCGAGGAGAAACTAGAAGATTACTTACAAATGACGTCTTCACGATACGCCCCGGCGATCGCACATCGCTATTCTCGACACTCCCGAGACTTATTAACGCGCGAGGCGCACTTTCGACGGATAAAAGACGCAAGAAATACAGAGCGATGTGGATCGATGTGTATCCATGGATGCTGCTTGGCGCGAAAAGATCGAGCATTTCAAGCGATTGAACGTCTGTCCTTTTCTAACTTACTATCATTATACGGAAGTACAACGGGCACGAACCAGGCGCATTGTATCGTTACCACCGCGAAAATGCACCTAACGAACGTAGTAAAGGCGCACTTTGTTAGATGGCGTCTCGAAAATGCGCCTAGCCAAATGAAAATTTTATCGGCGAAAATGTACGTAAGTGGAACGTAGTTTCATATAAAAAAATGTGTGCAGGTGGCGTATCGAACAGTCGTGAAAATCATAGTCGGCCAAAACACCGGCGTGACCGCTTTCTTAGGCTTCTCTCTGATAACATATATATTAAGAACGAGACAACTCCACAAATTGCGAAGACTCACAATTGTGACAATCCAAAGTGAATCAAACGATTGCACTTATCGTATGTAATTGCAGATTTTATTATTATTCCTCAGTATCGAACGTTGTTTAATAAACTAATATTGTTATACGATATCCATATATGTGTCAGTAATATTAAAGTTATAGCTAACTTAACCTAAAAATTAATTTCAAAAGTAGATTTATCATATATCCTAAGTAAAATATAATATTATATTCCCCTGTAATTGGTTGAAAGATTTGCTACAAATGTTATTAAATTGTAATTTACGTTGTGAGTGATGTTTTATATATTTTAGATTTGAAAAATCGCAATAAAACCTAACCTAACTCTAACATAATCCAAATTTACTATAATGCGAGTCAGTTAGATAATTTCTGATGTAATATATAGGAAAGATATTTCTAATACTTGATTCAAATACACTAACTCACTCTACATTTGTGTGAGCTTAGAATATGATATAAACACTATTATAAGAAAAATGATGTTAAGATATATTATTTTCTGTTTAACAGGTATTGACAAGCAAACACACTACAGGTTGTGAAAAAAAGGACCAGGCATTTATAATTAATCAAGGGAACTGGTGTGTGGAAATGGGTTCTGGTGAATGATCTAAGTTTTACATTTTATATTATGTTCTTTTTGCATACATGTGGAATTAATTACTTTGTTTGTAGAGAATAGACTTGATCAGAGTGAGAGTATGCCAAAGGTTGACCTGTTGAGAGACGTTTCAAGGTTCAAGTCTACAGATGTGGTTTATATGAAACGTTTAGAGAAAGAGAATTTGAAAAGAGCTAAGAGAGTACAAGGATATCGCATAGCTAATAATCGTATGGGAATTTCATTGGCACTTGGAGCCCTAGGAATTTACACGTATACAATATACACTTTTAAGCAAGAAAAATTCCTGGATGATTTCGAGAAGCCTGAGAAAACGATCGAGAAGGTTGCATAAAGTAGAAGCTTGTGTAGAAGATAAAGCTTGTGTGTGAAGATAAAAAATAAATGGAAACTAGTTGATTGTTGACAATTTTCACATTTTTGCAAGCTTATACTTTATATTAATAGTAAATTCACACAACAATAATTTCTTTATAAAAGACTGCGTTCTGCAGTCCATTTCATAAACTGTGCTTACTTCATCAAGTACAACGATAAACGCTTGAAAATGCTCGCTCCACGATTACCGCCACTCCCATCAATCAGAGACCTATTAAAGATGTACAAATTGAACGCCGTGAAACGTTTGTCTCAAAATTTCCTGTTGGACCAAAACGTATGCAACAAGATTATACAGAAAGCAGGGAATCTCGCCGACAGTCATGTATTAGAAGTTGGTCCCGGCCCTGGTGGACTCACTCGATCCATCATGAAACAACTACCGAAGCAGATAATGCTCGTGGAGAAAGATCAAAGATTTCAACCAACCTTGGATATGCTGGCGGACTCGTTCAAAATGGTTAACGGGAAGATGGATATAATATACGATGATATCAGGAAAACGCACATGCAGAGCTTATTTCCAGAAGAGATGAAAATGAACTGGGACGACAAATCTCCGAACATCTTCCTCATAGGCAATTTACCGTTCAACGTGTCGACACCCCTCATAATAGAATGGCTGCACGCGATTGCTGAACGTCGAGAGGCCTGGGCGTTTGGCCGAACGAAGATGACGTTGACGTTTCAGAAGGAGGTAGCGGAACGTCTAGTTGCCCCAGAGTCGAGCCATCAACGGTGCAGGCTGTCGGTAATGGCACAAGCGTGGACCTTCCCGGTGCTCCGTTTTGTTATACCTGGTAAGCATGCTTACGATTCACATGACAAATTCGCGATCATAAATTCGTTTCGCTGAAAAGAAAATTATCATTGATGCTCTGCTTCTTGTGTTCAATTCACAGGTAGCGTCTTCATTCCGCAACCGGACGTAGACGTGGGAGTGGTGTCGTTCACGCCGTTGGTGAAACCGCGCACGCAACACGACTTCAAATTTTTCGAGAAAATCACAAGACACGTGTTCAGTTTCAGACAGAAATACAGCATAAGATGCATTGAGTGAGTCCATTTACATTGTAATCTATCTGTAAGAGCAACAGATGAAATTATCAACGAAAATCTTTCTTTTCTCTTTTTCTTTTCGACAGAACTCTCTTCCCGTTGTATTGTCGCAAAGAATTGGGTATGATGATGTATAAATTGTCCGACCTGGAACCGACCATGAGGCCCACGCAGCTCTCCGTAGGGGATATCGATAGACTAGCTACTGCCTACAAGTATCTGCTCGAAAAGCATCCGGAACTCAAAATGTATAACTATCGCTCGAGTCGACATGTGGTACCGGTATGCAATACGAAAAATGTCGTTGTCGAGGACTACACGGAAACTTGAAGAGGAACGAGTTCCAGATCCACGCTGGTTCACACACCTTGAAAACACAAACGCGAACGCGCATTACATCACTTTTATTAAATCGCAGCAATTGTGTAGTGGAGCAAATTAATTAATTCGTTACAATGAATTTCGGTTAGAACTGTTGTGAGGACATCTGTAAATATACATTTATATACATACACGTATGGCTTAGCGCTTAAATGAAATATTGTACAATGTACACAATTTGTAGTTTGCGAATGTTAGGCGTGGTAAAGTAAAAAATACTGTTAATCATTTTAAAGGAGAGTAATTGCAGAAGGGAGAGGAGAATAAGTATTCCTAGCTTTACGAATTCTCAGCGCTCGCGCGTCGATCGCGTACATAGAATCGCGACACGCAGCACGGCACCCTGTTATCCTCAATTCACATGAACTGTCCATTACTATACTCCGCGAACCCTGTTACCTCGGATCTAACGAAGAGTCTACCTTATTATTTTCGTTCTCGCAACGCGCGGTAAGAAAACTTGCGCACGATGGAAGGTCAACGAGGCGGGAACGTCTGCGCGCAAAATAATCTGCGAAAAGAAAACGGATACTCACAACACACCGGTCGATATCACAGCTACTCGTCGTGTGTTCGTTTCTTTTTGAAGAATAATAATCATACGTGTATTTAAATAATCCTATACGTATATGCAAACATATATTATGTATGTGTACTTAGAGTTATTCGTTTAGGAATCGATGGATGTCGGATGAAAGTTGTGTGTGCGGCTCGCAGCCTGCACACATGCCATTGCAAATATTCTTAATTACAGTGATGTAGGAAACTCGAGTTTCTGCTACGCACTGTAACCGAACACAGGTGGTTTACCTCGAATTCGGTAAAGAACTAGACTTTCGTGTCGCTCGTCGACAGCGCCGACGGGGACGCGTCAAGCGAGCCGAGGAAATCCTTTGGTCCAGCGTACTTCTCCTCCAATAAATCATTACTAATTCATCCGGAGATCATGCACACGAATTCGTGTGGTCACTTAGGATCTTTCGCGCCGTTTACGCAGGAAAAGCCTTTTCTATTATCTTCGATATCGATTGGAAGCGCGCCAGGCACGTCGCGTATACGCCTAACTACGTCTAAGTCTTCGTTAATTCCTCGCCACGCCGCAGATCATGATGTTGGGAAGTGCTCCTCGACGTTTGCGCCAAGCACCAAGGGACTGTGCGTGAGCCTGCAACGTTCTGCACCATCTTTTCGTTCTCACGCCGTCCTCCGCCTATATGAGAAGAGGGAATTATTTTTCTTCAGAAATCGCATCTTTTTCCCTCTAACGCTGATCTTTTTTGCCGTTTATGACAGTTAAATACCGATACTTTCATCCGCGTCTCGAAACAGATATCTAACGCGCATAATTACCTTAAATATAAACGTCTCCTTGGAAGACAATTCCTGTATCTCGAAATAATCTTCGAGATCCGTTTCACAGCATACTATGCACTTGTCGAGATACAACGGCTCCTGAAACGATATGGTAATAAAATATGTAGAAATCTTCTCGTGATTAATGTTCGACGATATTGCAATAATTATAAATAAGATACATGACTTACTCGTAATAAGGAATATCGCCCAAGTTTCTCTTTAACCAAGAGCAGAGTCGCTTCTTTAATGCCTATGTGCTTCGGGAAGAGCGAGTCGTCGTTAAATTCGAGATACTCGGCATTCGGCTGAAAGAAAATAGTTATCACATTCGTCGAGCATGCAGCATTGCAACAACGTCGCTCGATATTGCGTAAGATTTTACCTTGCCGTTAGTAACAAGCATGGCAGTGACGGGCGCGAGTTTGACAGTTCGACCGCGCCTCCAATTATTGTCAGTCGGCTGCGCCACCAGAAGGCGGCCTTCGAGAACAAACCTGGCCTCCTCGTGAGCCCATTCCAGAATCTCGACGGCCATCTAGCATAAATATTATGTTAACGATGATATCTCGTCAGCCGTATTCAAGGATCGAGAATACAAAGGACAGCCCGACAAAGGAGTTCGCTGTTTGAATTACCTTTCTTAGCTTGATGTTCACCATATCCTGTTCGCCGATGGACCGTCTACCGTTTTGGATGATCGATATTCTCCTCCACAATTTCGTCGACGTAACGTCCTTCGCTTCCTATTAGAGATTCACGTTTATCTTCGCGAAATAAGCGCGTTATAATAATAATAAAAAAGTGCAATTTGCTTACAGCATTCATGTGTTCCAAGTGCAACTCGATGTTGGTTTGAGCCTGCTTGAGTCTTTTCTTCGCCTCTTGAATGTCCGGTCGAACGGAAGGTGTTGCTTTGAGCAAACGTGCCAGTAGCAACGGATACTTTGTAACTCTTTGGACAGGAACCTAAAAAAGATGATTGATAAGTAACAAGTGAACTTGTGAAGATACTTTCACTCTCCCTAACGACATCGATAAACTAGAATCGAAGGATTATCAAACGTTACCATTAAAAAAGAGTTCAGGTTCATCCTTCGCAGGACCGTGTTCTCCATTTGAGAGACCCTGAGGAAGATGCGGAGGAGCTCCTTCTCTTTCTCCAAGTTTTGCAACAGCAAACTGGCGCCACCTTGGCGCGTGCAGTAGCTCTCGAAGGCGTGCAGCATTCTCTCCGATTCGAGGAAAATCTTGCCCACGTCCACCGTCAGAAGATCCTCGTCCCCGGATACCTGCACGATCAAAGAGACGATATTACATTCCGTAGAAACAATGTATTCATCAGCCGAGTGATTTTCAAGAGAAATCAGAAGAAGAAATATTCCACGCGCGCGTGCACAGTTTTTTCTCACCTGAGCGATCTCTACGCTGTCCTTCAGCTTCTCGGCCAAAACGAGATTGTGCTCAAGCAGCTCCTCGACGTTGAGAAAGATCGCCGATAGTTGTTCCGACGTGAGAAGGCCCGCTCGCAACATCGGCCGGTGGAACTCCTCGAGTATGATCTGCAGATCTCTGCCGTACTTCTGCTCGGTCTCCACGATCTCCGTGATGATCTCCTTACGCTCCGCGCGCTTCTTCGAACACTTCCTGCATACGAAAGGCGCGTAAACCACGCCGCTGCAAGAGATACGACGAAAATGGAGATATTTGAGCGGTAATACAGGCCTGATCGCGAATATCGTGCGCATTACGAAGTGAATTGGATCGATATCGAACGAAAATGATTCGCGCGAATGCGTGAAATTACCAGCTAGCGATTACACTCGCGCGACATTACGAATTTGTTCGTATAATCCATGGATTCCAGATGAAAGTAGCTGTCGCAACGCCAGCCAGACGCGGGCATATTGCATATTACCCATTCATTGAGCGTCAACTGCGCTCTCCGATAACGACACTTTCGCTCTCGACTAAATAAAATCGATAGCGGGAGAAAGTGTGGCCCGGTCTGTCTCGTAATGCACGCCCGCCGCGTAATCTAGTCGCGCGCGGCAGCTCCAAGGTGCGAATTCTAGATGCATTTTGCATCTTAATGAACTCCCCGCTCGATATAGATACCCGGGAGAACCGCATTGACAGGAAAATCCAATTAAGCGGGACTTTCCAGCGAGATGAGCGCGCGGACTCTCGAGACGCGGGAGAACCGACGTGTTCAATTCGGCGGAAAGCGTTCGCGTGGAAAGATCTCCCGTGGAAAGAGCGCGGACCGACACGGATTGTGCGACGATAGATCAGAGGATCCGCTGGTAACCGTAACCGAACGGCATTCGTTCCTCGCTACGGGGACATTGCCACCTGGAAGACCAAAGAGCGGAGCGACGTTTCGCGGAAAAGTTTATCGCTCGGAAACGAGTCAGGCGAGGAATCCTGCGTGCGCGGAACTTACGGCGAAGCCGAAACTCTCACGGTCGAAACTCGGCCGCCACGGTCGTGGAAGACACGTTCCGGCGAGAGGACTCCGGGGACCGTTATATCCTCTCTTCGGATCATCGAGCGCTATCTGTTAGAAATGATAACAGCGTACGATTTAGGACGTCGGCGGCGCATCGAAACGAGTTTTCAGGAAACGAGCGCGCGCGCCTGGCGACCTGAACGGGACGACATAGCCGTCGTAAAAAGCGCAAGTCGCTAAAATGCGAGAGCTGTGTATCTGTTGAAATATTGCTCATCAAGGTGTCGTTCATGTCAAGTAACGTAATGTTCTCGTTTCGTGAAAACGAGGAAGAGAGGAGAAAGAGAGAGAGATAAAATAACATGACCGTTAATCGCACGCCAACACGTTCTCAAGTACACTCTTCTAAGCATTATTTAAATAATTAATTTATTAATAATTATTTAAATAATTCCAGCTTTACAAATTATTACGGTACAACGTGCTTTTTCAAGGCCCGTTAAATAAGCCTGTTAAATAATTATTAACACAAGAGAAAGAGAAAGACTCAGATGAAATACGACCAGAAAAAGCTGTAAGCGATTATAACTTATATCTTACATGTTTTCTATGGTACATTAGCTTTCGCAACTTAAACCCTGCGTCTGACTCCAAATTGGCCTAAATAATTATCGGCACACTTTTTCCATAAGACAATGGAGGCCGCGACAACTGAGACACGGTTGTTCGCATTGCGGTAGCACCGGAACGCATCGTCGAAATGTCGTAACGGTTTCAACGTTTGCCGATATCTCAAACGATCCTGCAACTTACCTGTCCGTTATCAGAGGATCCAGCCGTTGCTCGCAATCCTCGCACAGCTTCGTAGCACCGGAGATCACTTGCGGTATGCTGCCAAGGAGGCTCCCCGGACCCGAGGAGACGTTGCCCGTCCTCCACCGCCTCGCGACACCGCGTGTGCTGCTGGCTTGACTGCTCTCCGAACCAACTCCGCTGTCTGTTCTCTCTATGTCGACTGTTCTCGACTGCAAAAGCGATGGGACGCAATAATTAGCCCACTAATGGTCGATATTCTATTTATAGGATGTTTCTTTTTCATCAAATAAAATGAATTCATATTATATGACTTTTGTTTTCAACATTTAATTCTCAGTTGTATCTTCACTTCCAATAAAAATCATTCCAATACTAATCTGAGACTTTAAGGAAATGAACAAAACAAGCCAAGCTTTAATTAAAATTATTTGTAAAATAATTATAGTCTTCAGAGTCCCACATGTATCGATCAGCGCGCGTTTCTGCAATTTCAAAATGCAAAAGTATCCCGAAAAAGAATCGATCTGTTACATGAGAAACTCACCTTCAATGTTTCCGGTGAACTGGTCAAGATGATGTTGCACTCCTCGCTGCTGTCGGAAACGTTGGAGATCTGCGAGCTTTTGGAGCTGAGATCGCCCAGGCTAGTCTCTTTCTGCTCATAGAGAGCTTCCAAGTCTCTCTCAGCGTCATCCTCCTCGTCGTCATCGTCATCCTCGTCCTCCTCCGTGGGACGCGTTCGATCCTTGGAGTCCATCAGGAAGTTCAGTAGCTCAAACTTAGTAGAGATATTCTCGTCGTCGGGTGACGTCGACATTTTCTTAAAGAAGTCCTCAGGACTCTTCGACAAGTAAGTCTCGGCCAGATCCTCCGAGTTAGACTTCTTGAAGACCTCCTCGGACAGATATGGGCTGAGGAACTGACCCGGCGCGACCTTCTTGTAGTAATCGACGTCGCCGAAGTAGATCCTATCCTTGATATAATCCTCCGTGGGCGGCGGGCTCAGTGGCAACGGCGGCGGCTCGTCCGGTATCTCCTCGTAGATGGGCTCCTTGATCACCTCGTAGGGATTCTCCTCGAGGAAGAGATTCGTCGAGATGAAGTCACCGTCCGAGCTGGACGACCTCGAATAGTTGGCCTCAACAGTGGACTCGGAGCTCTCGTACTCTTTGCTCTTCAACAGGCTTTGTTTCAAGATTTTCAAAATCGCCTCGCCGCTATCCTCGTCGAGGATCTCGCCGTTCTCACGAGCTTTCCGCAAGGAGTCCTCGAGCAGCTTGGAAATAAGGGCTTCCTTCGACAAACCGGACAGCTTGGAGGTATTCTCAACATCCTTGAGTCGCGTCTTGGACTCTGTCCGCGACGTTCTCTCTTCGGCCGCGTACAGTGACCTTGACGACTGACTGGTGTTCGTCGCTTTGATTTCAACACTCAATCTCTTCTGTTTCTCGAAATTCGTCGAAGATAACTGCTCCGTGTGACATGGCAAGGTCTCTTCGCTGGGTGTCGAAGGTGATTCGTCGCTCGTCTTCGAGTTCACCTCGAATTCATCCTCGACAACGTGATTATCCTTCGCGACCGACTTGGAGCGCGAGTTCTCAGCCGACTCCACCACGATGTTCGACCTATAATTCTCCAGTATCACCAGAGTCCGATTCTCGACGGAGCTCTGAATCTTCGGCGGATTCTCCGAGTTCACGGAGATCACCGTCGGATTGCACACGCTGTCCTCGCCGCCGACGCTGATGGTCACCTTGTTGCCGGGTTGCGTCGATTGCTCCACATTCGTGGGACTCTGATCACCGTTGATCAGAATAGAAGTCCTTCTGGACCCTCTCGACCCGGAATCCGGCCCAATCTGCAAACGATGGACGAGCGGCGACGAGAGCGGGCTCACCGTGATCTTGCAGACGTTACTCTCAGGAGAGCCAATCTCGATCTTCGACGAGCCGTACGAGCTGCTCGAGTTCCACGAGGCGGTCGACGCAGAAGAAATTGTCCTGCGGTGGTCCCTGATCGAGTTGGCAGTCTCGTCCAGATCCACCACGGCGGAGTCGCTGATCTTGAAGCGATGGCGTTGCCTACCTGGCGGCGGGGACCAGCTCGTGGGTCTCATTGTGCGGAAGTGCTCGTTGCTATCGGAAATATCGCTGCGCGCGTCCGGCGGTGGCGGCTCCGCCTCTTTCTCGACGTTGTCGGCGTTCTTCTCAGGGTTGCTCTTAACGTTCTCGCTCGCCTCGACCTCGCGCTCGGATCCCTTGAGTCCACCGGTGACGCCTGCCTCTTCTTCTTCTTCCTCGGTCTCCCCTGCCTCGTCCTTCCTCGGGCCTTCCTCGTCGACGTCCTCGCGCGTGACTCCGCATATGGGCGTAGTATAGACGGAAGAGGGCTCCTTGATCTTCTTGCATAAGCTGAGGCGCATCGTGTCCGAGAACAGCACGTCGCCGGCCGAGACCTCCGGCCGGCTGAACGACCGGTCGCTTTGGCTTCGCGTCAATAGGGATTTCCTCGTGTTTTCTACGGCCAGCAGGAAATCAACCAGTAAATCATACGAGTAACTAATACGACGATGCGGAACGTTAACCTTGCCGCGCGCGACGCCAAGTTTCTTCCTTTCAGATTATTACGTCCCCGACCTGCACGTATGCAATATGCAATACTGCAGTCCACTTTGAACGATCTATAAATTCACGACAGAATTCAGGACGGAACCTTGCGTTGTTACGTTTCTTCTTTCTCAGATATGGGCACACGGTGCATACGCGGGAGGATCAAGAAATCGTACGACAATGTAGAGACTGTGCTAATAGTTTGTAGACTGCGCGAAATGTTTTTGCGAAATGTAGTACATCATGCGGATCACACGCACGCTTGATACGCGTGCTTATAATATGACTTACGAATGTCAAACACGTACATCGAGAAATAGAAAAACACGCATACGTTTCCGTTCGCATTCTCAGACGCTCGGTTAGCGAAAAAAAAACTTAATTTACATTTCCCGTCACACGACTGGAAGGTCTCTTAATGGCATAATCTCTAGGAATTACAAAATCAGATTAATTATTATTCGAGTAGAAATCGAAAAGAAAGTATCATTTCCCTTTGTGCAAGAGAAGAATATCCGCCGGGCCCATGAATTCGAGCGGCGTCTGCGGCAACGTTGAAATGCCCGGAAGGAAAACCGCAGATGCGAGGTGTGGAATCGAATACCCGTGAAGAGGGTACGTGAGAAGACGAGCGCAGCTCCGCGAGACCGGATTCGATATCAAAATTTAACTGGGCGCGAGAAAGCCAATGCACACAGGGATTCCACTGTAAATTTATGAGGGTATCGCTTCATAATGGCGCACACTACACTACGAACTGCAACTCGCACAAGGAACTCACTTAATTCGCTATTTGTGCTAATACAATCCCGTTACATCCTGGTAAAAGCGAGAAATTTAAATGAGGTTAATTACGCTTATGGCGTCGATTATCTTAAATAATTCGAATTAAATCGCCAGCCATCGCATATCCGTTGCACGTGTATCGTGCTAAAAGTTGCACTTTGCAAAATATAACTCCGCCGAAGCGGAGTTTCACTTTCTACGGTCGTTTCAGCCGCGCTGAATCGAAAACCCCTGCAATTATGGTTTCATTGAAAAAGTTCCTTCGACAAATTGTCGAGTATTATCTGCGCTTAACTGGAAAGGAGCGAGGGATACGCCGCGGTGTCTTATAATGCGCGTTTCGCTCGCGCTTCGTTTGTCGCGCGATCAAAAATGCCGGTTCTCGTGCCAAGTCGATGCCAAAGCATCATCGAGGCCTCTCGATTGCCCCGACACACGGCGTCCCTAACGATTGGTGAAAGTGCAGTCGAATCTATGGCGGCTCGCGAGCTCGGAATTTCACAGCCGCGAGAAAATTCAACGGTTTTTCCACGGCTGCTCCACTTTACGCGGCCGTCAGGAATTTCTGAGAGGCGCGCGATTATCGTGGCCGCAGAAGCGCGATTGCGCGAATTAACGATCCGCCTCGTTTATGAGTTTATGACTTGAATCGACTTCGCGCACGCACGAGAGGACGAGCCATTGGGCCTTGCGAGGCTGAGCGTCGAGTCGCGGTACTTAATGGCTTTTCTTTCGCGCAAATGTAATTGTGATGAGCCACAGCTACTCTAACGCGGAATCAAATTGACACAAATGTTACAAACACACTGAGAGGTAAAATAAAATATAAATATATGTGTATATATATACACATATATAAAAAGAATATTTTAAATATAAGAAAGGTTCACTCAATGAGTATTACTAACATATTAACATATTAATATTGTACATACATACTTTTAAACAGAGAAAAAAATTTCTTTCAAATATACACTGAGAGGAAAATAAAGTTGCCTTTGGCGTCAACTATACGCTTTCGTGATTTTAACCACAAAAATAATTAGAAGAACCATCGTTTTAGTAAGGGTTATTAGAAAGATAGTTCTTCTAATTATTTTTCTGGTTAAAATCACAAAAAAGTATAGTTGACGTCGAAAGACTCTATATTTTTCTCTCAGTATATATGAAAATATATGTTTTCCTAAAATCGTTGCTTTTCATGGAAGCAATTGTTTATTCTAATTAAACAAAATTCAAACTTAAGTAATATATTGTTAATACCCATTGAATAAGTATTTTTTTTATTTTTCGGACATCTGTTCTCTCAGTGCACAACTGCATAAAAGGATATTTTGTTATATTTTGTTTTCGACTCATTATATCTTATAATTTATCGTAACATAAATGAAATATCGTTGATTGCAGTAAAACATTGAAATTGACATTCCGTCGACTTTTCAATCGGCGAAACAAGTGCTCTCGTTGGTGACGCTTACATAACTACTTTTCGACATTCAGATTCCGCAATAATTGAATGCAAAATACTTCTCATCCTTGTCTAAGCAAAACCCCGAACTACACAAACGATCTCCTGTGAGCGAGTGAGTAATTCACAATGTTGCGAATTCCGCAAAGGATCTCGCCGTTGAAAAAAGGGCGGCAACGTTCGCACGAGTCCCTCAGCAAGCTTCAAGCGTTCTGTCTCTCGCGCGAACGAGGTTTTGCTCGCAAAAAGTGCATCACGCATGGTGCATAGGAAATGTAAACAATATAACGCGGCGAAAAAAGAAACCGACAAACAAAGGGAGAAAGGTGCGCCCATGCCTAAAGGAGGAACGTTCGTTCTTAAAGATTCCACGACCGGCGAAGGAAAGAAAGAAAGGCGCGAGCCGGACGACGAGTGTTCCGACGGACCAGGTCCCTCGTTCACGAGAGAATTTATGCCAACTGGGCGCAAAACGAGCGAGCACGGGATGCCCGTGAATCGCCGCGGCGCGAAAAAGGTTTATATCGAGTACTGAACGCGAACGCCATTCGCGAAGGAGCGAAAACGTGAGAGAGAGAGAGATCTCTAAAAAGCATAATTACACAGCTCTGGACCGCGAACGATGCGATGATTTATGAATGCCGTGGGTAAACAACGGCGCGAAAGAGTCAAGGTTCCCGGCCGAAGCACACTCAGGTGCATGTCTATTACAGGTGCGCAGCACGTGGCTGGCGCGCTCGGCGTTCACGCGTGATCGATAACTCCTTTCGAGGACCTTCCGTTCGCTCGTCGGGCATTTTTCTCAAGCGTTCTCCCCCTTTCGTCTCGTTCTCATGCCCGAGCGCTGTATCGCACGCATGTTGGACACAGGTCCGTGAGATTTCGATCTCGAGCTACGATGCAATCGCAACGACGCGCGAGTCGCGCAAAGACATTTCGCCACAGACTACTTGATACATGCCGATCTTTGAAATTACTCTGATGGGAAAAAAATTTTTTATAGTAAAAAGGATAAAAACCGACCTATCACGATCTCGGTGAATTGAGAAGTTATTTGCTTCTTACAAAAATATGTTGGCAGAATCGTGGAATGACAAAACTGTCATGAGAAAATTCAATTTCAATATATTAAAATTTTCAAAAGGGGAACATTATCGATCTGTCTCGATTTTAGTATCATCTCGATCGGTGGATTAAGAAATTGTTTGCTTCCTATAAAAATATGTACACGGAATCGTGAAATCGCGGAAATCATAGAAAAACTCAAAAAATTTCAAAATTAAAATTTTTAAATTAAAGAGGAAAGACACCGAGCCATTGCGATTTTAATATTGTCTCGATCGGTGAATTGAGAAGTTGTTTCTTCTAGAGATATATACATTGACAGAATCATGGAATAGTGGAGCCGTCACTGAAAAATCAAGTTTCGTAGTAAAGAGAAAAGACGAAAAGGGGAACATTCTTAACGGGTTGCGTATATTAGATGTTAATTTCTTTTAAGTTCCGTGTTGTGTAAGCACACATTGTTAACGGGCAATAAGGAAACCGACGCGGACGGCGAGAAAACCTCGATTTCCATACATACTACTCAAAACTGACGCGATCTGCTTCGTTTTAATCATACGAGAGAATCGGCCCCGTTAATTTCCAAAGTGGAAAGAGCGTGGCGAAAGCAATATCCCGCGTTCGCGTAAAATCATCGTCACTGAGTTATTGCATTACCTGAATTATCGTATACGCGCAATACAGAGCGCGAAATCTATGGTGTTTAATCCGCACGACGCGCATCGCGCGCTCACGAAGATCGCTTGGCCAGGTATGAAAGAAAAAAAAAGGAGAAAGAAAAGAAGGGAGCTCGCGCTTGGGAAAAAGAAATCGGCGTTTAGATTTTATAATTCGAATCTCGTCGCGCTTGCTCGTGCCTGAGCTTAGAAAGTAGATTGCGCGGGAACAGCTAATTAAAACGTCGCAATTGAAGAATGGAGGTAGATGTACGGGGCAATGAATGGAGATATTCTGTCCTCGGATTTTCGACATGAATACCGCAACACTCCCGATATCAGTGTCAACTGTGAATTTCGAGCACCAAATGTCGATGACAAAATGCATTGGGTCGTAAGTAATAAGTAGAGATATGCGAACTATTCGAATCGAATCGAATCAAGTAAAATTCGATTCGATTCAAATTCGAATCCCTATGATTCGAATCCGAATAATTCGAAAATTTCGAATCAAAAAGATTTGAATATGGATCGCGCACATTAGTATTAACGAAGTACTATTAAAGACATCCAGCTTTACGGGAATTAGCACGACTTGAAAAGTTTGCTATACATTAAGATTTTCTTCAAAAATATTAAAAGAAGATAATGGCTTCTATATAAACTCTTAGTGACAACTGTCGGATCGATATGTTGCGCAGCTTTTAAGACTAGAACTGTATTCCATACATTCCATGTATTCCATACATTTACTATATATTAAATATCTCTTACCTTAAATTGAATTGATATCACATAATCAATGTTATCTCTCTCATACTGAAGTCATTATTTTCATGTTAAATCAATGATGATGTTAATTAAAAATTCATTCAACGATTCGATTCGGAATTAAAATCTGATCGATCAAATCTATTCGATTTGATTGAACAT